TACGTACACGACTCGCTCTCTACTTCGTCGTGTACACTACACTTACTAACGGTAGGAGTACTACCACTACACACGAGACATTATTCTACACACTCTCTCTCTCTCTCTCTCTCTCTCTCTCTCTCCAGTACACCAGGATAACAATTTTGTCAAACACCATCTCTCTCTCTCTCTCTCTCTCAAACGCACACACTCACCCATCCATACCAGTAATGGTTTGACTTGAGAACTGCCTTCCTCGAAGATGTTTCATTATAAGAACTTCCCAACAAACATTCAATTTCAAGTACTTGATATTCCGGCTGGTGACAATCTTTTTTTTTTTTTCAAGTTTTTTTCTTTTTTTTGAATTGTAGCATTTTCATGTGACACTCAAGTTATAGTAACAGACAATGCAATGTTTAATATCCGCAAAATCAGCAGCTTCAATAAGTTTTTTTTTTAATTGATGTTGTGATAGCCTAGGATGCAGATTTTCACGAGAACAGGAAAAAATGCTAAAAGAGTAATGACCAAAACAATAGGATACAGCATAAATGTAACATATGTGCAAGCCCTTTACCTCTGTTGAGATGAAGGACTCTAGTGCCCTTTGAAGAGTTGATACCCAAGGATGTGTATCTGGTGTCAGCAACTTCTTGTTATGATGCTTTATACCATGTGACACAAACTTGTTTAAAGTCTGGTGAAGGGGGAACTCTTTCAAAGGCACCCCATGCTTCAGCAACTCTTGCAAGTAATCCAGTTCAACTGGTTGCAGAAACAATAGTGCTTCTCCCTTTTCACCCAGTCGAGCGGTTCTTCCAACCCTACAACAATGGAGTAATGAAGCAAGTGGATAACCAGCCATCACTAGTTGATTTTTGAGAAGTTCTGATGTGAACTCAAAACATTGACTCCAATAGTAATATTTTGGAAAAACTAAAAAGGTTGTCTACAAAGAGACCATTTATCTTTTGTACATGGAGGTCACAATCAATTTTGTCCCTTAAATTTCAAAATGAGTGATTGTAAGAGTGTCATTGAATAGCCACTAAGTTCCAAAAAAAAAAATTCTCAAACTTCATGACTCACTTCAAGCCATCCAACTTGATATCTAATGAGTGGAAATGATTGTGACCTTCAAGTACAAAAGATAAAATGGCCTCTTTATAGACAATCCCAAAACTAAATTCCAACAATATCCAAGGCCAAAATTATTCAAAGTACATCTTTTAATAGATAAATTAATATAAAATGCTATTGACCTACATAAGAGCTATTTCAAATCCCTACCTTCCCATTCATATATAGGGACACGAACACTCCAATCACATGGAATTCTTCAATGCCAAAATTATTAATATTACAAATTAGGTGACTTCTATACAATTTTGCAGCTCTCCTATCATAACATTTCCCTAATATTTCTTAAAATAGGCCCCACAGTCTTATCATTTTCTCGAAAGTATTATGCCCACAATACCATGTAGCAGAAGTTTCACAGCATCACAGGTTCCAATCCCACCGCTAACTTACCCAAAAGAAAAGCTGATTACATTCTTCATATATATTTGTTTTCAGGGATCTTACTGGGACAAAAGAAAAATATCTAATATAGTTTTAGTTTATTAACTGGTGAACCATCCCAACTCCCAAGCCATCTGAACAAGATGCAAGTCAGGCTGACAGGTGGACTCAGTTTCACTTGGAACTAGTCCCAAATTGATTTCAACACTAGGTATATATGACCCACTATTTTCAATGATGCAATTGAAAACCAAGAACATAAAGAATCACTCACTGGTCTAAGGAGGAGAAGAGCAAGCAACGCTAAATAGTTGAAGTAGCTTTTGTACATTGGTGGTAATAATTACTAATAACCATTCTCAGAAAAAGATTATTCCAATTTCCAAGCTTTTGCATGAGATGCAAGAGGGCTAAGGAGATAGGCATCATGGTGGAGCGCCTGTTACTTTGCCGCAAGACTCAGCAGTTTCTTCTTAATTCATCTCAATATCTGGAACTGCTAACCATTCATGATGGAAGCCCAACTAGCAATTTTTAGGGTTTGTGGAGAAAGAGAAATAACAAAACTCTTATGAGGGACGATAGATGTGAAAAATCATATCTAAGTAAACCTCATCTCCTGGGATATGTTAGAATAAGTTTAGGGAGAGCAGCAAATCTAGTTTAGGGTTGGCATAGTATAGGCAGAATAAGGTTTCTCGTGAAAGATATCAGCAAACTAAGAAGCATCCCAAGAGGAACTGCGGAAGCATGATTTTGACCACAGTTCCAGAATAATAGGGGTTTTGTGGGGTTTGGGGACCAGAAGTGAGGAAACCATTTGTGGGATCGATAAAAGGGAATGATAAAAGCAGTTACACTGAAGTGGAGGTCAAAGCATACTTAGTGGTCCAATCATCTTTTTTAGCATTGCCACGGGGAAACATAGTTGTCAAAGAAGACTCCAAAGAGCGATTAAAAGGAAAGCAAGTTGTCTACTAGACCATGGGGGATGGAAGATGTTACAAAAAGATCCTAGAGATCATTACCTCTCACGAGAGATCATTTCCAGCACATGGATAGGGAAGCCAACAAAGTTGCCAACATATTGATTTTTTTTTTTATAAACATTGCCAACGTATTGATTACGAATGGGATTTTTAGGATAATCTTGAGCACAAAGGAAACCTTCCCTCTTTCACCTTTACATATTTTAAACACTTTAGTTCACTCGTTCACCAATAATTCTGATCTATCAAAAACAAAAAGTTTTAAAAAATAGGTCAAGTGTTAGGCATTGCCTTCTCCTTCAATCCTTTATTATTTTTTCCCTTTCTTGATTCACTCATATTTTTTTTCAACTTTTTAATTATTGATGTCTGTTTGTTGCTCTTTATTCATCCCAGTCTAGTGATACAAGATTCATGTTAGGTGCAAAGGATGTCCCAGGTAAGACTTGCCATGTTAGCCATCAGTTATGATGTATTATAAGCTTCAATATTTCCAGACTCCAAAGTCTAGCATCGCCAACTGCAAAGAATTTCCTATTGCACCATGATACTCCATTGCATATTGTTACACATATATTAGATTCCACTAATCAAATAGAAATGACTTGCAGAATCAAGTAAATCAATGTACGAAAATATCAAATAATAATTGTAAGCGTAAGTTTATCTACAAGGGGTTAGAGAGAACAAAAAGCCATAGTTTTAAAAGTTACAATGATGAAGAAACTCCAGAAACCTTACAGGAGCCAATTTTCACATAATACCGGACCAGACTATTAATAGTCAATAATGAAAAATGGTAAGTAGAGTACCCAAGCATTAACAAAAAAAAATTCCAACTTTACTCTCAGTAACTAAATACCTGTGCACATATTCAGTAGCATCGCCTGGAGAATCATACTGAATGATGTATTTAACTTTGGGAAAATCCAGGCCCCTAGAAGCAACATCGGTGCATAAGAGAAGAGCAGATTTTTCAGAGCTGAACCCTTGAAATGACATCCTCCTGCCTTCCTGTTCCATACTCCCATGCAACCTGAAAATCTTGCACTTGATAAACTTTTGCTTTTTAATTTGTTCTTCAGAAGACAATGAAAGTTCAGATTCAGAAGACCATCGGAATTCATTCATGAGTGAATAATGGAAGTCCACAGCATCACAAGTTGAGAAGAAAACTACAACCTGCAGAAATGAGATTTCAAATACTCAGACTGCTTTATCCTCTCCTAAGTAACAACAAACTATTCAAAGGAGCCAGCCAATAATAATAAGATGCGACTACAGCTCTCAAGTTAACAGATTAAAAAAAAGATGTGACTACAGCTTTGACAGGAAGCTAGAAATCATGGATCAAAATAGTCTCATCCACAAATGAAGAGAACATTACTCTGGCAACTGAGAAATATGAAAATACAAATATATTTAAGAGTGCAGTAAATAACACCTCTAATGTATCCTCTCCCAAATCTTTCTTAGAAAATAGCAGAAAAACACCCTAACGTTTTCAAAAATAAAAAATCAACAGGTTGTCTCACAATCATTAAGGCAGAAATATTTGCATTTTAACAAAGTTAAGGATTTAGCTTCAATTAACTTATTAAAAGATTGATACACAGTTATCAAACTAAGAAGTATCCATTTAGTCTGTCAAAAATCAGGGAATCACGCAAACTATTGGAATCAGTAAAATATAAGGTGACAGGAAGAAATTTCATTAATATATTTCATTTTCATTTTCCTTCCTCTTTTTTTGTCTTTTTCTTTTCTTCCTAAGTGGTAAATAAGGAAGAATAAAGCAAAGAGAAGGGCCCAAAAAAATTCACCTAGGCTTGCCCAGCATATCTCTGAAAGCGTGGCCTATTAAATTACTGCTGCATGCTTAACATCCCCTATTTTATTAGGAAAACTAGAACACATGCCTACATCACTTTTGACACACACACATATATATATATATATATAGTTGCTCAAACATTTAATAGGAAAAATGTTTATACAAGGTTGACACCTTATATTGTAGAATTAAGGTGCACCTCAAAGTCCATCAAAAAAGGTTGTTTTGGTGTTGGAAAACCATCTAATTGATCATCGAGACATTAAGATGAACAGATATGGGGAAAAAAAAGAAGATTTTAAGCCCCAAAAATAGTTTATCTTGCAACACATTATCAAGATCGTCCATTTTCAAGATTTTCATGCGTTTATAGATCTGCTTGATTAGAACCATTATTCGAGTTTTAAAATTTTATAATTAGAGATGAAAATAGATTCTCACACCATCCTAGAATTTTCGACACCAAAATTGCATCTTATGACAAAGTCTGGAGGTGCACCTTACTTTGATTGTTTAAGGTTGAAACCTAATGCAAACCAAACCCCATTTATTAATCTTCTGCCCATACCAAAAAATTAGTGAACAGTACGAAAAAGTATATGTAAGATTTGCTTGAAATGAAGTCAAATTATATTTAGTAATAGATTTTTCTTTATTGCTGACTAAAATATAATTTACAGACGTTTATAAGGAAAACTATATTGACATCACCTGTTGACAGAGTTCTCTTCCAGAAAACTATAATCATAGATTTGCTTAAACATCTAATAATCATTTGCAACATTTAAGAATCCGTAGTTCATAACAACAAATCTACGTAAACAATAAGCAAAAGTAAAGTAAGATTTCAAGCAAATTACGACAAGATATACGTAACAATAGATTTTTTTTCTTTTTTGATGATTGAAATATCACAATGAATTTCTAAAGATAGATATCTAGAAGGAAAACCTTCCAATAAAACCACCAAAATGAACCATTCTTGCAGGCACACTCAATACTATGAACAAACTCCTAAAGACACATTTTCCAAACTCTCTCCACAAGACAAGCGGCTTTCCCTACCAATCATCTTTCTCAGACTCCTATTTATGCTATAAATGATGAAAAGATAAATTAGCCTATTATTCACAAAAAATGAGAGAGAGAGAAGGAAGGGATCTACCATGTGGAGCCCATACCATAAGAGGAAAGGGATCTATCATGAGAATGATTATCAAAATCTTCCTCATTATCCCAAGCTATATTGTGACACGTGAGGCCTCAATAAACCCTCAACTACCAAAGATGGATCCTGAAGTCTCTCAGCATGAAATAGAACTTCATGAAATCCTCCTCTGTTTTGGACATTTTTGGCCCCATTAAGTACTAGCATATTTCAAACAAGACATACAACTCATGGACACCAATCAATTTTCCAATGACCATCTCCTAGTCAGGTTGCATGTTCCACAGCATGGTCAAAAGGATAATAGATTGAACACATATTGTCAATATTAGTTAAATCTCATGGGAAACAGCAGAGAATCGAATACAGTCTTTCTTTTATTGGTGTCAATTGAACACTCCTCTGCAAATTTAGGAAATTTATTGACATCATAAATGACAAATCCCACAATGATAAATTGACCAAACATGTGTTTGCATGTTTAAGAAAAGGTTACAACCAGGGTTTTAAAAGTCGGCAAGTCGAACCAGACTCGCCTGGTTCGACCCGGGAATCGGCACCCCCGTGCCAATTCCGTAACAAAGCGTCGACTCGCCCATGTCTAGAGAAAACCGGGCGATTTGGAACAGTGAATCGCTGCATGACGTCATGAATCGCCTGGTTCTGTACTGCATGACGTCATGATCGTCCATCGTCCAGTTTGGACATTCTTGTAATTTTTTGGGTTAAAATGGGTCAAAGGTCACAGAATCTAGGGTTCACAGCCTCCAAGGCCACGTGTTCAAAACCACAAAGCCTCACGCTTCCTCATGCGTTTCGCACGCGATGTGAATTGGTACCAAGGTAGTATTTATCCCCGTCAATCGTCTTCCACGTTTTCGATGTGAGATTATTGTGAGTAAAAGGTAATAGCTTCAAATGGTAATATAATATAACATTTTTTTCGGGTGAATAGCATCACAATTGGGGCTGTGGTGTAGTGGTTATAGCATCCGTCCCTCACATTGGAGGTCGCAGGTTCTAATCTTAGCAGGTTATATCACGTCCTTCCTCACAATAAATTTCTTTTTCATGTCAAAAAAAAAAAGCCTCTTGTCAAAAAAGTAAAAGTTTCAAAACATAAAAACTTCTTTTTCTTGTCAAAAAAATAAAAGTTTCAAAAAAAAAAAAAAAAGGTAATAGAACAAAATTTCTTTTTCTTATAAAAAAAAAGTAAAAGTTTCTTGTAAACAAACATATTTTTTTGTCAAAAAATAAATGTTTCTTGTAAAAAACAATATAAGGTTCATGTCAAAAAAAAAAAAAAGGTAATACAACAAAATTTCTTTTTCTTGTCAAAAAAATAAAATTTTCTTGTAAAAAATATATAAGGCTCTTGTCAAAAAAAAAAAAGGTTACACAACAGTATTTCTTGTCAAATCTTTTATTTTGTTTATTAATTTATTTGCATTATAAATTATGTAATGTACTATTTTTTCTTATAGTTGTCACTAGGATATTTTAAATTAGATGATATTATAAGATATTTTGGATTTGTTATTATTTGTATAATAAAATAATTATAAAATGTAAACCAACAATTTCAATTTCAGTATATAATATTATAGTTAATTAGGTTGTAATAATTTTGGATATAGTTAGTTAGGTTGTAATAATTTGGGTTTTTTTTTTAACGACTTAGGGTTCCTTGCCAATTCGAGATTTTGGTGGCCATTTTTCATCGATTTAAACCATTCTTTATTGTAGTCCATGTATAATTATATACTTCATCCATGATAATTCTATGATTTTTCTTTTGTGTTATGTACATTTAATGGTTAAAATAAGTTCATACAGGGAAAGAACATCTCAATATTCGCATATTGTTGAAAAAAATGAAAGTTAATAATGTAGTACCTCGATTTGTTATTGGATTCTTAAAAAACAACATTTATAATGAATTTTAATAATTTTTTTGGTGCGACCGATTCGGTCGATTCCCGATCCGGATCACCAATTCATCGATCCAGATGGGTTTTTGGGATGCCCGATCCGGGGCACTGATCCGTTTTTTAAACCACTGGTTACAACCATCCCATAGGTCTATAATTGAAGGACATCTATATTCTTTTTTATCAGTGATGGGATGATGCCAATACACTGTAATGTAGTTACATAACCTAAAAAAACCCTCCAAAAATCAGATAGAAATTCTTGCCTTAAAATGGCATTGTCCCAAAAAGGAAATGACTAAACAATTTTCTAGATTATTATATTCAAGCTTAGCAATTCATCATCAAACGGTTCAAAAACAGAAAAGGGTTATCAAGTCTCAACTCTAAAGAATTGAATCCATCAAAAGAAGCTTACCTTTTGGGAAACTTCTCTTTCAAATAAAGATTTTAGAATGGACAGAAGTACCACTAGCCGTGAACCACCAGAAACTGAAGATTGAGATTATTGAAATTGCATCAAATAAACATATAAAAAAACTGCATAAGCAAAATATACATGAATCAGATAATGACCTTTAACATATCTCTGAACTAATTGAGATGGAAGAGTATACTCTTGCTCCAGTGAAGATCCTAATAAGGTGGCTGGTACTTTGATATTTACAATTCCATCGATATTTGAATCTCCAAAACGAGTAATTGATGAGTCACTGCAAGTTTTGTTTTTCTTGTCTTCGAGACCAATCATAACGGGATTCTCTAAGCTAATTTTAGCTAGATGGTTTACTTTATCATTTAAAGTTGCAGATAAAAGCAAATTCTGCTTCGGATATTGATCTACTGAAGGACCCATGTGCAAGTCGTCAGAGCCAACAAACTCAGGCTGCCTGGACCCCAAGATGTTGAGTATTTCTTCTATTTCTTTCCCAAACCCTAGTTCCAGAATCCTGATGGAAAATTCAGGTACAGTTAAACAAGATATTCACTGGAAATGATCTAGAGAAATGATGTATAATGTCCGCATAACAAAGAAGATAGATGGCTTGCAAAAACTAGATAGCTGAACTAGTACATGAACATGAAAGATATACGAGAAATTCAAACTGCCAAGCATAACTCACATATCTGCTTCATCAAAAATTATCCAACGCAGATTGTTGTGCAAGAAAGATGCTGTATGTTTTAAGTGATCCAGAAGACGTCCTGGAGTTGCAACAAGGATAGATATTCCTGAAAACATCAGAAATATCATAAAATTCAGAAATGAAGCAAAAGAAGCATCAAATTGGAAAAGCTTCAACCACCTTTCAAAGACAAATCAATCATTTGGAAAGATTTATCTCTAGTCACCAGAAAAAAGAAATAAAAGAAGGCAATAAAGACCTCAGAGAATACACAGATGTGCAGTGAGAGAACACCCCTACTAATAAACAAGATGCCAAAAGCACCATGCAGCATACATTATTTTCAAAGTACACACCTGAAATCCTAAAGCCAAGTCATAGACAGCCTGAAGGAAGATTTTCATGAACGTTCACATCTCAGGAGTGACACCAATGCAGAATTTGCTGGGCAAGGGGAGGGGGCGGGGATATCCTATTCATTACCAGATATGATCTGAAGTATTTGTTCCTTACTCTCCCTCAGATTTCTTCTAAATTAGAGTTTGCAATTCTGAACCAAGAAAGGCAGACATCACTGCCCAAAGTGATCTGACACAGATGATTGCAAGCTTCCATGGATTTGGCAATTTACAGCACATCTAGGGATCACATTCACAAACTCTTATTCCATTAGCAAATAACTCAATACAGACTTGAAGTAGATTACGAGCATCATGATAAAGCATATGCCACACCCTGAAGTGTTGCACAGCCCAAGGTCCCGGATTGGCCAAGAATGACATCCAATCACAAACCATAAAAAGATTGCCAAGCCCATCTGGGTCAGGGCTTACAGTGTGAGGTCTCATCAAAGTTCAGCTTGATAGCTTATGACAGCAGCTTGCTTCCCTCCATCTTTGGACCAGGAAAGACAAGCATACTAGCGCTCTTCATTCACCCAATAAATCTACTGACCCAATACCCCAGAATTCCTGCCCAAGAAGATCCCAAGAAATGATTGTGTCCCTAAGACCTTGAGCAGATCTATGATCAGGAACCATAGTTTTAAGCCATGTAGATAATAATGTTGCTTAACATCAATAAGCCACAATCTTTAAAGTGATGAGATTTGAGACATACGAGCAATCATCAACCTAGGCTGCTACATGTAAGTTAGGTGATGCCAAAACAGTCCAACATAAGTTCCTTACTCAGATAAATGAACAGTGGAAAGGAGTTCAACCATTTGTTAGATAGATTGAATGCCGCCTCCGTTCTTGGGCAGGTAAAGACTAGATATGGCAGTGCACCTCAGCTTGTTTGGATTGGCCCCACCCACCTAGATCTAGGTCTTCCAATAATTTGTTTGCCCGGAAAATATCCTATCCTAATATTCCTATTCCTAAGTGTTGAACACCTTCAGTATTGGGTGTTCCAGTAACCCAATATTGGAGAATGACAAGGCAGTCAATCTTATGTACGGTCCTTCACATTTATGGGAACAACAGACCACCACAGTTCTGCACCTGCACCAATCACATCACATGTTTCTTGAACCCTGACATATTAAAGTTCTGCAGCCTTCTTTCTTTTACTCTTGCGAATGTTACATAAGCAGGGATTTAGACCATGGAAAAACCATTGATATAACAGATCCATCATCAACATTACATTCTCAACTCAGAAGGAAATCCATATTCTCTACCAGACATTTGCTCTATAATTGTCAGGTGTCTTGCTGATGCATTAGTTTTGCAGAAGAATATCATGATGGCAGAAGCAAAGATGAAATAAAGCCCCCTCTTCAAAGAGGATGAGCTCATCATATTAACATAGTGTGGTTCAAGTCTTCAAGAATCACCAAATATCTATAAGACATCAGTTAGCCCAATAACATCCATATAGACATGCAAATTTTCCATACCATCCAAATTGGACATCATCCTAAGCAAAAGCACTTGGCGAATTGACTTTTTTGTCTTCAGTCAAACACATCAGACTGATCAACAGTATTCCCAACTAAAGATTGGGAAAAGGGCACTGAAATAAGGTAACCAATCATGAAGATGACCCAAGATGCTAACATAAATTGGTTGGACAGTACACCCATCTAATGGTTGATACCATAAGTACTGTTTAAAACTAGTCATACATTCAATTCCTTAAGGAGCCATAGTCAACATTAACTCTCATGGAAATTAATTTCAACATGTTCAATTGCAAAATAACATATTTTTAACTCAACCAAGCCAATACCACCTCCATCGAGGACATCAAATTATCAGAAGACTCCATCCTCAAACAGCGAAACTTTTGCACTGTACATTCTCTGATCTTGGATTAAATCCTGCCCTATGCGACCAACTTTGAGTAAGAAGCACTTTAAACCGTTATTTCTCCTCTAAACGCCAAAATTTAGTCTCTTAAAACGCTGGTTCTCCTCTAAAACATAACTTCTCATCACAATTCAACAAGGTGAAGGTAGCCGCAAGACACCATGAAGAAACTCCCTCAGACTTTGCAGTACAGTCAGTCTCCCAGAACTGAAATAACATCAGAGAATGAATGCTATAATGGTTCACGCCACAAATACTACCTAAAACCAGTTATAGATTCAATTCCCTCAAGAGCTACCTTCAACATCAAGCTTTACCCAAAGATACCTTCAACATTAAGCTTCATGAAAATTTGGAAATTAAGAATACAATCATCGGAAATGCACCGGAGAAAAAGAATATCACTAAGCACTAGGAATCATCACTGGTCTTATTTCAGGCAAGCTTTTCACAACCAGGTGATGACAGCTACAAAATCCCAAAAATCATGACACCGCGAAGAAACTCATTCAGCCTCAGTACTATAGCCAACCTCCCAAAAGGGAATTGAAAAACATCACAGGATATATCCATGTAATGCTTGACACCCTAAATACTACTTAAAACTATCATGAATTGGACTCCTTCAGGAGCTAACATCAAAATGGACAACACAGCCACCTGATGTGTAGAGGAAAAAAAAGGCACAGGATATTGTTATCAGTTTGTCCTTCCATGTATACGATCCTTAATACACTTTACTCCAAGAACAGCACTAGTAAGAGACAAAGGGGCACCTGAGCAGTCATTCCTCGTGCCACAACAACAATGTGTTTTTGAAGAGAAGATTTCGAAGATCAATGAAATGAAAATAATGTAAACTGCATGTGAAAGATAGAAGAAAATCAATGCCCTCCAAGTCTAAATTATTACACTCCATATCCAAATTAGCTCACAATGAATTATTAAGGTAATCATAAAATGATGTTGGGTGCATTGCATCCACAGAAACAATCTTCCTACTACCTTAAATCATTTTCATATATGGAAGGTCCATACACAGATTGAAGTTAAAAGCTATCTATTTAAGAATCTAAAGGTTGCTAAAATATGGACATTAACTGCAACATATGTTGATTCTGAAATCGAATGTGTTGTACACTCTCCAGACTCCTGGATATGGTCGCTTTTTAGCAGTCATCATGGTGAAATTAATCATCATGATAGAATGGCTTCCTTAAAGCATTTATAATGTCCCTACTATTGCCTTTGTGCCAACATTGGCTTTGCCAGAGAAGATAAAAGAGGAATGCATTCCATTCGAACTTTAAATGCCAAGCTAATATAAGAAAAACAGCGTCATGCATCAAACATTTCATGGATCTAACAATCTGATGCATAATTTTTTAAATGCAACCATATTTAAGGTAAATAATTTCTCTCGTGAAACATATCTGCTCTTAGAATCATACTGATGAACAAATTCTCACCTTTCCGCAACCTAGCTTTCTCCTTTGACCTATTTTCACCACCCATTATGTACCCCGGAACAATCCAGTGAAAACGGTGAAGTAACTTTTGAAGGATCTCATATACCTGCATACATAACTCACGCGTAGGCACAAGAACCAACGCTGAAACATGATTATCAGTTTAACCAGGTAATAAAAATGATTAATCGAGAGCAATGTACTCAAAATATAATAAAAAGAGTACAGAGTTTCAAAATATTCTTTTCAAAAGATTCCTGAAGTGAAAAATATGTTCTCAAAAGTTCCTGAATTTAGTGGCAGGCTACTTGCAAGCAAATAAGCTGCAAACAGTAAGAAGGCAAACCATATTCAACACTAAAATAAGAAAACAGCAATTTATAGGCTACAACCTAGACCGAGTCCTTTTCTAACATGCCTTTTTTTTTCTTATTTTTATAATCACTTCTTTCACAAGTTTCAATCATGGAAGTCATAAATCTCTAAAAATCAAGCTTCAGCATAGCATTGTTAAACTGAAAGCATGATTCTAAAACATCCATCATGCATCATAGAGATGTTAAATGGATAATACCAATATAAGAAAAATGCAAACTCAGAAACATATGTCAGATTTGAAGCTTAGAAAAGTGAACATACCAAAGAACAATTCAAGTTTAACTGATTAATAGATGGAGATACATGTGATTTGAGGTTCTGGGAAATCAAGGAGGGAGAGGTATGCGAAAAGAAATGGACAAGACAACCCCAAGCCCAACCAAATGGCCTAAAAGTAAGGTTAAGAGATTCCAGGTCTATGAGAGGCTAGAAATTGCATCCTTGTCCAAACACTGTTAACTTCTTTTCTTTTAGCCTCTACTAAATTTCTTTCACGGTATTAGAGTAGATTACTTGATATCTAGGGCCAGAAATGATCAAAGTTAAGTTTCTTCCTCTCATTTTTCATTAAATCTTCATACTCCGCTCTTATTTCTCTCTTCTTCAATAAACCTTCTTTCATGCTTTCAATAAACCTTCTTTCACTGTTCCATTGTTCTATTTTCTCTCACCTTCATCTATCTTCCAATTAGACCTTGACAGGGCCTAACCAAAACTCCTCTCAAACAAAAAAAAAAGGAAAAAGAAAAGAAAAAAAAATGAAAATCTGAGAATCTCCTAACCAAAATATCTAGCTGAAAATCTCTCATTTAGCTTCTTTCAAAAAATGCTTCTCTTAAAATCTGATAAATCTTCTCAGCATTCAAAATAATAATAATCTTGCAACCTAATCTTACAAATCATAATCTTGCAATGTCTTATGTTTCCCTTCTCAGAAACCTAACTGAAACCTTTCATTTTCTTCTTTTCTCCTAGCAAGAATTCAAAATCCTACCCAAAAGTTTCTCCCTAACCAAAAACATCTCATAATTTTACAAACCCTAATCCAGCAGTCTCTTCATCTTCCCTTCTCAAAAAATCCTAACCAAGCTCTTCATTTCCATTCTCTCAAAACCATCACAGAAAATCTCTCTTTCCTAATCTTGAAACCCTAATCTTGCGACCTGTCCTTACATATACATCATGTCGACTTCTATTAATCTATTAGCTTCGTCTCAACTTGTTCCAAACAAACTTGATGCTACTAAATTGTCCCGTTTATATGAGGACCTGGGGCCATGGGACACCTTGATTGATCAGATCCCATGCCACTGGAATTTTTACCTACTGAAGAAACAGAAAGGAATGGCCACATCAAGGAACAATATAAGAATCGTGACAGTGAACCAGCGGCAGTAAGAAATCCAAACTATGCTTTATGGTTAAGAATGATCAAACTTCGGTTGCATAGATCACCTCCACGCTTTTATAGGAGGCGTTACTTCAACTACCTAATAGTTGCCCCGCCATGGAACTAAGGAAACTTTTACATGAATCCCACCCTCAAAATTCCAATGCACGAGTGTATCAATTGAAGGTTGATCTTCAAAACACCAAGCCTGACTCATCCACCATTGCTGAGTTTCTTAACAAGTATCTAAACAAGATTATGGTAGTCACAAACTGCTGACTGCTATAGGAAATTTGTCCATGAAGCACATAAGATAATGCAAATATTAGCTAGACTTAGACCATAATACAACATGTTTGTCACCTCGATCACAATAAGTGTTCCACCACCCTACTCTGATGAACTGAGGTCTTTATTACTTCAGCATGAAGTGAAGTTTTTATCTTCCAGGTCACATCTCAAGAAAGATGTGTCATTAGAAACCCATGAAGTATTGAATGCTTCATCACGAAACACTCGTGTCCAAGGACGTGCAAAGAACAATCAAGGGGGGGGGGGGACAAGGGCATTAAGGTGTAGCGACTGGTCGTGGATGTTTGTCTTGCTTTCAAAAATGTTCAGCCTATTGCGAGGGGAGCTGTGATTTGAAAATTTGTGGCAAACAAAACAAAACGGGGAGCATGCTGGCATTGTTTTGACTATACATTCATTCCTTTATCCACTGGACAGCAAGGTATTCCAGCTTCTCGTGGACAATTGGAGGTGCTTCATCCTACAGCCATGATCAGCATGAAGGCCTACCAACTGCTATATCACAACTCAATGTGCAATCTTCCAATGACGACTCTCGGATCCTGGATTCCAGTGCAGCACACCATGTCTAGCGTGGTTCGGGTAACTTTAATTTATCCCCTTATCAAGGAAAAGATATTGTGGTTACTGGTGACGATAGGATCCACCCTATCACATACGTAGGAGATGCATTGATTCCCAGTCCCTCTGGGTCCCTATGTCTACCTAATACTTTTCTTGTCCTCACATCAAACAAATTTGATTTTGGTGTCAAAACTTCTTGTGCCTCACATCAAACGCAATTTGATTTCAGAGTCATTTTTCTCCACAATCTGTTTTCGTGAAGGATCTTCACATAAACAAGAGGTGTGTTAACAGGAGTAGATGCGGGAACCTGCGTAGTAAACAAAGTTCTAAATCCCTCAAAGGTGTCAAAGTTTCTTGTAGCCTAAAGTAAAATATAGTGTATATTCTCAAAAAAAGATGTAAAAGTTCGTTTTTTTTCCTTTTTTAAAACTGTAAAGATGTCAAAGTCCCTTTTGGGGTCAAGTGTTCATGTCTCCAACAATAATGTGGCTTATTTGTGGCATCACTGCTTGGGTCATTGTCATTGTGGTATACTTGATAATCTTCATGTAAAACAACTTTTGTCATCCATGAAGAAGACTTCAAAAAAAAAGTTCTCTGTCTGAGTTGTCAAGTATGTGCAACCCTCGGTTGCTTTCCAACACTCAACAGCAGCACTTATCACCAATCAACCCAGGGTGATGCAAGACAAAATTATTTAAATTTTTAAATTTTTATTTAATTTCAAAGGATGCATGTTTTAATTTAATTTCAGTGTTTATTTTTGGGTTTTAAGTTATTTTAGGGATTCTAGGTCTTTTTATATTTCTAGGATTTTAGGAGTTGTTTATAAAAGTAATTCCAGTGCTGATAAAATATTTTCTTTTATCAATTGTAAAATTACATTTTTATTTTAATTAGGACTTTTATTTCAATTAGAAATAGGATTTATTGAGTTCCAAGTAAGGTTTTTTATATACACCCAAAAAAAGTAAGGTATTTTATGATAAGTAGGGGTCTATATAGAGAACTTAGAATAGGGAGTTGAGTTTCGATATCTTATTTTTGGTTTAACTAGTACCAAGTCATTGAAGCATGGCTTGTAGACTTCCTCTTTAATTTCCCAATTAATAGATTTTCCTCCCTGCAAATTCTTTCTACATTGATTTGTATCAGAGCACAAGATTCTTGAGCTGCAAGGTTGGAAATCTTCAATCAAGTCTACGGTTTGCTGAATTTAGACCACAATTTACTGATTTCAACCAAGAATTTGTTGATTTCACCTAGAACTTGCTAATTTCAGCTAGGGTTTGCTATATTTCCGCCAAGGTTTGTGATTTTGGTGGACAAGTGGTAGAAGAAGGGGTTGTGGAAGGGGGGCCTCTCCTAGACCTACCACATCATGCCAAAGATATTGAGATTGAGGATCTCAAGGGGCAGGTTCAACAACTCTCACAACAACTTGTGGGCATCAATCATGGGCAAGACGGTGATCTTTCCCCCCAAGAATATGTCAAGTACAACCCTTTTCACCGCCATGCTCTATGTGAGGAGTCAAGTCAAGTCAAGGCGGACATTCCTTATTTGAGGAGCATAATTTGACTCACAACCACAGGAGTAGTAATCTTGCTGCTTTTGAGTACAATTTGGTTCGTGGTATTGAGGAGGCCAACCATGGAGAACTTTATTTTTATTAAGTTCATTCCAAAATCAACAGGTTATAGACTAGGATTTGCCACCCAATCCTCAATACATTCTCTTATGAACAACATGATATCTTAAGAGAAGTTTAGGGCTAAGAGAAAAGACCTCCACGTAGTCTTTATTGATCAAGAGAAAGCATATGATAGAGTACTTCGATATTTAATTTGGAGGGTATTGGAAATGAAAGGAATCTCTAAATATTATATCAACTTGGTGAAATATATGTGAGGAGTGCCAACTAGTGTGTGAACAACTAGTGCAAAGATGAGTGAATTTTTAATGACAATAGGTCTAACTCAAGAGTCAACATTGAGCTCATATCTCTTTGTCTTAGTTATGGAATATGGACGACTTAACTAGCCACCTATAAGATAAGGTATCGTGGTGTATGTCGTTCGCAGACGAGACAACAATTTTGATCGATGCGACCCGAAACGGCGTCAACACAAAGTTAGAACTTTGGAAGGGTGCTCTAGAATCTAAAGGCTTTAAAATTAGTCGGACTAAGACATAGTATATGGAATGCAAGTTTAGTAATAATAGGACTAGAGACAAGAAAGTGGTTAAAACTGACAGCCAAGAAATACCAAAAGAGCGTACTTTCGATATATTAGATCGATAATCCAGTAAAATGAAGAGATTGAGGAAGATGTCACACATAGAATTAGAGCAAGATGGAAGAAGTGGAGATGTGCAACCGGAGTTTAATGTGATCGCCGCATACCAATGAAGCTGAAGGAGAAGTTCTATAAGACAGCTTTGAAACCAACTTTGCTTTATAGGGTAGAATGTTGGGCAGTCAAGAAACAACGTTCCCATAGGATGAGTGTAATTAAGATGAGGATGTTGAGATGGATGAGTGGCAAGACAAGAAGGAATAGAATTCGAAATAAATACATTCGAAAGAACTTAAATGTGGCTCCAATAGGCAATAAGATGAGAGAAAATAAACTTAGATGGGATAGGTATGTGCAGTGCAGACCCAATACAATGCATATTAGGAGGTGCAAGTTGGTTCGAGTAGAAGGCTCAAAAAGGGAAAGGGGTAGACTCAAAAGGACATGATTGGAAGTAGTGAGAAAAAATATACACACTTATAGTGTCACTGAGGACATGACCATTGATAGAAGTATAATTGCAAACCAGGATTCGTATAGCCAACCCCAAATAGTTGGGAAAAAGGATATGATGATAAATACTAAAAAGTGGAAAGTTAGAGAGAGGAAAGGAGGATAGAGACCCAACATACCATCACTCTCTCTCTCTCTCTCCATATGTACTATGACCATAATCCATATACAATATTGTATGAGATAAATGTATAATTTATAAATGTAGGAAAGAAGGGAGAGGGCCAAGGTGTGTGCCTTGGCTTAGCCGAGGCACTATGACCCACCTAGGTGGCCCCTTGCCCACTTAGCGAGCACCTAGAGGCACCTCCACATAAGGTGCCTGCCTAGGCCTTTTTTTAAAGCCTGGCTGCCTAGTGGCCAAATTTTACAACATTGCTTCAAATACATGAACAACATTGATGATAGCTCTTAAAATGGAGTTCTAGGAGCTCCATGAATGTTCAGGATGAATGACCATAAGTAGTTATTCTATTAATCATAATGAATTGTGTGAGTTCTCATGTTTAGCTCTAGCAAAAATAATCTCAACTTTGAATAACACATGTGGTAGCATTTCTTCCTTACAATTGCCCTTGAAGGAACGAGATGGTCTCTCTTTCTTCAAAGTTTTGAACGCCCCCGACTTGGTCAGATTATCAAGGTCCAATCGAGATTTAGCGAGCACATTCGGGTACAATGGACTTGATGAATTATTGATAGCTCTCCGAGTTGCACTCTATAGAACCACTGAAATCAAAGTTCTTTGTACGTATTTGAACTATTGAGTTCAATCTGACAAATATCCCGTAAGCTAAAATCTAAACTTGGCATGTAAATTTCATCATCATCATCATCCAAGCCTTATTCCAACTATTTGGGATCTGCTACATGCAACTTGTTCTGCATTTCTGCTTTAAACTTGCCCTTTTGGCATGTAAATCTCAAATTTCTACAATTTTGATTTTGCCAATAGGCCGAGGTCCACACTAGGTTATAAGATAGATGCTCTTTGATCCAATCTTACCAAAAGACTAAGGTCCAGATACCAAAGTAATAAGAGCTATTCAATATGATTCTACTAAAAGGCCAAGGTCCAAATACCAAAGTAAGAGTCCATAGCCAAGAGCCTAACCCAAGATATACTATCACTTTGAAATTATAGGAGTTCTAAAAAATCATCATTCGAATAGGTGAAAGTCCAGGTTTATATAGAAGTTAAAAGGGGATATTGCCACCACCAATATGACATATGGCTAGCATGAGTGGCCAAGTGTCATCACCAAACAATATATGATATCTCTCGTGCCCTTTGTTATCAATATATTCCGTAACGAATAGTTCCATTAGGTAGATAGTTCATCCTTTGTTTCATACTAGGTTTGAGGAGTTCCTTAGTGTATTTGAATTCATTCAATTAGTTAGTTAGTCAATCAATCAATCAACCAATTTCTTTTGGATGAGATACAACTCAAGCGAGGGGTTCAATCAATGTGATAGAAGAATGTGACGATTGCTCTAGTCATAGGTAAATAATTCCACTTCTATGTCTATGAGTGTCGTATAGCGTCATTCAATCACTCAAGAGTAAAGCAATACGACAAGTGAGTTGGCTTTTGTCTTTTGTTAAGCATGTACACGAGTGTCACTCCATTAGCGAACGTAGTAATTTGTGAGACCATCGAGAATAAGGACTGCCCCGGATTATGATTTAACTGAGTTTAATTTTTGGCTCTTTACTTTCCCATCCCGAGCTTTAAAGTATCATTTTGGTTATGACACTTGGCCACTCATGCTAGCCATGTGTCATTTTGGTGATGACACATTTTTCCCATCCCAAGCTTTAAAGTGTCATTTTGGTTATGACACTTGGCCACTCATGCTAGCCATGTGTCATTTTGGTAATGACACATATCCAACTCCCATCTCTATATATACCCCCATTTTCACCTCACTTGGATGATGATTTTCTCATAACTACAACAATTTCAAAGTGATAGTACATCTTGGGTTAAATGCTTGACTACAGTATCTCTTACTCTGGTATCTAAACCTCAGCCTTCTGACAGAATTGGATTGAAGAGCACCTATTACTTTGGTATCTAGACCTCAGCTTTTGATAGAAGCAGATCAAAGAGCAACTATCTCAGTTCTCTAGTACATGGACCTCAGTCTATTGGTGTCTAGAAATCTAAGGTTTACATACCAAAGTGTAGACTTCAGACTAAGGGAGGTTAGAGATGTGGTTTCAGTGGTTTCCAAAAAGTGCTACTTTGAGACTTGTCAGCGATTCATGGCACTAACTATGTCCCAAGAGTTTGCTCGCCATAACCCAGTTGTACCATGGTATTCTCACTGAGTCAGTGGCATTCAACACTTTGAAGAAAGCGAGACAATCTCGTGGCTCCGAGTCCCTTGAAGAGTACAAATCCAATCATTATTTCCTTTTAAGTCTCTCTCCCCTTATCTCTTAAATATTCAAACCTCAAACTATGTTCGAATAGGATTAACGTGTAGCACTAGCAATCAAGTTTTAAATCTATAATTGACTAAGGTTAGGGAGACTGCCAAATTGATTTCAAGGGAAATCGAGAATAATTGTTTTGTGCGAAAATAATTTACATTTATTTGTATCACATTGAGGGTATACCCAAAAGAACATGATTGGAAGTAATGAGAAAAGATATGGGGACTTATGCCCTCACTGAGGGTATGGCCCTTGATAGTGCAGAATGGCAGACCAAGATTCGTGTAGTCAACCCCAAATGGTTTGGGAAAAGACTCTGAGGATGATGATGATTTGCATCACACTCTCAACATTCTTTTAACCACATAGTCTAAAAAGTGGAACCACAATCAAACAATTTGTTTTCATGTAAATGAAAATAGCATCTCATTAGAGGTACAAGCAATGATGCATCCCACATCCAAAAAAAAAAGAGGCACAAGCAATGGGCACCAATTAGCATGAGATTATCATAAAAATTGAGGTAAAAGTCACAAGAACAGTTAACCATCAAATGGATCTACAAATGTGACCCACTACCAACATAATACTAACAAATTATTGTTTCAAAAAAGAACCAAAGACAGAGCAATAGAATATAACCGTAGTTTCAGATCATACCTAAGGTTCCATCAGACCGTTTTACTTTTGGATCATATGTTATTAAGGAATGAATTATGGGCGCAAGATATGCAATGGTCTTGCCAGTGCCAGTCGCTGCATTAACAAGCCTAAATATTCTCTGTCAAGAAAAAAAAAAGGAGTGTACAACATAAAACTAGGGCATGAGCAGTTCTGAAATTTATTAGAGAGAACTCATATATCTAATTACTAAGAGAATTTGTATATATAATTCCTCTTAAAAGGATACACATGGCGTCCTGAAATAATTGTCGGAATCGATTGAGCTTGGATGCGAGTTGGAGTCTCAAATCCCATCCTCTCTGTTTGAATAACAATCATGTGAGCATTGTAGTGAAATAGAAGAGGCAATCATCTCATGAGGTGATTAGAAATCTAATAAGATGAATCACACTGCCACATGGCAACTGGACAAGCTCATAAGAGTGTTGCAACCAAATAATCAGGATTTCCCACATGTTGCAAACTTATGTTGATTAAGTTGGACAATAATTATGTATCCTCAAAAAGTTACAAGAAAAACACAGTTACTAGTTGATTAAAGTTGTTCTATCTATGCAGAAACATAAATGAGATTGAGAAACAATTTCCTCTTTTTTATTTAGTGGATGAGAGACTTACGCGTTTTTGTATGTTTATTTAGGCCCATTTCTCGTGTTTTTGTATGTTTATTTAGGCCCATTTCTCAGACCTTCTAAGTTGCAAAAGGTTTAAAGGTATCTCATATATCTTTTTAAATGCATTTATGGCCAATCTGGATGAAGAACATTTGTCGTAGAAGTTAAAAATGGCAAGGTGAGCTTGTTTGGGCTTTTGGGCCAAACTTCAAGGGTTCGAACCCTGGACCTCCTCATACTAAAGCTCAAGCCTAAGAGACCAAAGCAATAATAAGAAAAATGAGATACAGCATATTTATGGCAATTTTTTGTCTATATGAAGTTTACATATCTTTTTTGAAGAGAACGCAATATTTAGCAAACTACGCCTATATTATATGTCCCTAACTGTGAGTCTTTTACTGTTCAAGAATTTCAGGGAAACTACTTGTCATTATTTCCCTTGTTTCTTTTTGCATGTCATATGTAAGACACCAAAAAGAAACTGCAATTTTGTCCAAACTAAGAGCTATATGACACATACTATCTCCTTAGGTCTTTGGATTTTGCATCGATTTCGCTGTGTTCCAATTCTTTCCCGAAATATAAACCCTTTGGTTTTTCTGAGACATAGCCAACTCATTTGAACTATTTCTTAGTACTGTTACCTAGATAGTAAGAGACAAAAAAAGTTCCAATCTTCCTTACTTACAAGGTCTCCCTCAAAGCATTCCATTTGTTTCACGGATTTAGAAACTCAAATCTCTTTCCAAATTCACGAGTAAATGACAAAAATTTATGTAGCATTGGTGATCAAGCCTTAGGGCTTGATTTCAAGACTTCAATCCAAATTCCTCAGCTTAAACCACCACCAAACAGCATCACAAACAATGGAAAAATGGAATTTTTAAAGGATAAATTAGAGTTTTAAGAAACTAAGATTAGGTATTTAGAGGAAAAGCTTGGGTTTAAAGAGCTTACCCTGAAGTTGGTTGCATAGGGCAGGGTTTAATCCAAGTTCGGAAAATGAACAGCCTGCAAAAACTTCGCTTTTTGAGCATGGTGTCTTCTGACACTCTGAGGGTTCTCTCATGGAGGTGGTCTTGCCTTGGTTTAGCGTTGGGCTTAGGGTTTTGTGCACACTGGTCTCGGGAGGAACTCCCATCTCCCTCAAAGCTCTTAGGGCGTTCCCGCTTGGGCAATGGTTTCTATAAGGTTGCAAACCTTGAACAATCCAATTAAGGCGCAGCTCCAAATTTTATCATGTAATTTTTGAGTAAAATGTTGTCAGGAGTATCTTAATACCTATTTTCATCTTTATTTATAAAATTTTTAAACTAAAAAAAAAAAAAGGTTAAAATTAAATAGATCTATAAAAATATGAAAATCTTGAAAAATGGACGATCTAGATTATATGTTGCACGATGCACTATTTCTTCTACTCAAAATCTTTTTTTTATATATATATTCCTACAACTTGATGTCGAAATAATCAATTAGAGGGTTTTCCAACATCAAAACAAGAGTCCCAATGAATTTTTTATACGCACCTTTAATTCTACATTTTAAGGTTGCAGTCTTATATACCTGTGACATTTTTAGAGCCACTTAATTTGAAATCCAACGGACAATAATCTTTGTAACATCTTTGTACTAAAAAGAAATTATCCATTTTAATGAGTTCGAGGATATGTGTCCCCTCTTTATAATTTATTTTTTAGATAAATTTTGAACATAATTTTTAGGTATATATAATCTCCAGCATGGAGGATATGAATATGTAAAAGTAAATAAATTTTAAAAACTAAAAATGATAAGTTTTATAAAGAATTTTAAACTATTGATTTTGTTTTCTTCTTTTTTGAGAGAGAGATCACAACTCTACATCCATTTTCAAGATACATGTGGGATGCCGCAGGGGATGCAATTATAGTTACGGGTCCCTGACACATAAATCACTTTACTTAAACATTACTTTAGGAAGAAAATGAGCATATAAGATGAACATTTTTTAAAATTTATTTATTTTAGTACTTTATTTTAATATGTTTTATTATTTAAAAATACCTTTGGACCTCATATATCCAACATGAAAATGACTTTGGATCGAAGTTTTAGACACTTTTTTTTAAAGGGACTTCAGACAAGTTTCGTCAAAATGAATTCATATATTTGTGACACGAAGTCATCCTGACAAGTCTTGACTTTAGTCCTTTAAAGTCTCAAATTTTCATAAGTCAAAAAGAGTATAATCTTTAAGATATGAAGTTATCTCAACTTTGGATCTATGAAAGTACTAATTGCCTCTCACTTAGCATATTGAAAGCCTAAAGTAAAAGGTGCTATTTGTATAGAGCCGAGGCTCTAAACAATCAAAGCAAAACACACCTTCAAATAGTATCAAGAAATATGGTTTCAATATTGGAAATCTTTGTGATAGCCTTAAAATATATTTTCATTTTTAATTATAAAATTTAAAGCTTCAAAAATAGTGTGGATCGAGCAGATCTATGAAAACTTGAGAACCTTGAAAATTGACGGTCCAATAATGCGTTCAAGATGCACTATTTTAAAAACTTGAAATCCATTTTTTTTTCATGTCTATATATTTTGATGTCGAGATGATCAATTGAGGATATTGGGCATCAAAACTACCTCTTCTAGTTATATTTTTTAGGTAGGCTCTAATTTGATAGTTTAAAGCCTCGACTCTATATAAACATTTTTCTAAAATAAATGCATTGTAGGAAAAAGAATTGGGAAATTTATCAAAATGAACACAAGAGATCAACTATCTTTTTATTTAAATTCAAAATATCCACTGAAATACATGTGACCATGAGTTAGAATAGTTAAAAAGAGTGAATTGTTATTAAGTGTATTTAGAAAAATATCCCAAAATTATGAAAATATTTAAAACAAAATTTATTTTTGGAGGATAAAGACAAAAGTATTAGGCACAAATAACACTATCAATTCCGATGTCTATAATAACAACAAGTTAAGGAAAAGGTTATGTACTATAAGACCATTGATTTTTAGTATAAAGAGGTCACAATCACTTCAAGCTATTAGGTGTGGAATCAAATAGATGAAAGTATATCATAATATTCGAGAAAAAAATTATTTTGGATTTTATGCTCAAACAATTATATATTGTCAACCACCTGATTTTAAATCTAAAAGTCAAAACAATTGTGATGTCCTTGCGTCAAAAATAAATGATCTCGTTGTATACATTTCCTTTAAAAAAAACAAGTTATATAGTGCCTTATATTTTTGAAAGACTACAAAACCGAAAGGTTAAATAAAACTATAACGTAATGATATCACTGATCAAATATAAGATTAATATTGGCAATTTGTTGATGCTCAAAAGTAGTAAAGGAATATTTGATAAATCTCGGTAGATAGGCAAGTAGCAAGGAAGGATATATTAAAGCAAATTTTAGTAGTTTTTGTTCAAAGTTATTTTAAAAAATATAAAATACAATAACATTTAATTTCCTTGGAAAAGCGAATTATTTGAAAGAGAAGATCATCCCCTTAAACGACAAGTTTTAATTTGAGTCTATGGTGGGCCCCTTCTTTCCCGTTTAGGTGATTATAGAAAATCCATGGTCATGAATGTCATCAACATCCAACATTGGATGTATGGAAATAAAAGGAGAGTAGTCTTGCCACTTGAGGCATATTACAAATATAATCCTTCCTCCATCACTTGTCATTATTAAAAGATCATGTAAAATATTATCCATGATGTATACAACATTCGATCAATTGATGGATGGTGATTGGTAGAAGATGACTCATGGGCACCCCCTTTTATGATGGGTCCCATTCTCTCTCTGACATGTTCTTTCGATTCTTCATTTTCTTTATTCTTTGTTCTTAAATCTGAGTTTTCCAACTCAAAACTACTCTTAGAGCCATAGATCTAAGGTTATTGCTTCAGATTTGAGCCTTTTTTTTTCTCATAGCTGCCTCTTTTCTCTTTTTTTTCCCCTCCCATGTTTTTTATTTTTCCATTTTCTAGCCTTTTTTTTTCTTCTCTTTGGCCCTTTTTTTTTTTCTCTCTCCTCTCGTTCTTTCTTTTCTGCTCTTTGCTCTAGCTTCTTGATCATTCTTTCCCTCCCCCCCTCCCCCTCTCTCCACCTTTTATTCTTGTCCATCCCTTCCCCTCTCTCTCTCCACCTTCCTTTTTGTCTCTATTTTCTCCACCTCTTGCTATATTTTACCCTTCTCATCACTCTCTCTCTTTTACCCATCTAGTTTTCATTTGTTATTCTCTTTTGTTTTCCTAGCACCACTCATCTCTTTTCTGTTAGAGAGGAAGTAAGGTGTGCTAGGGGTGGGGGGGGCTCCCCTTTTTTCTTTTCCCCATCCTTTTGTCTCTCATTTTCATCCTTTTCATCTCCCATCTTCCTTCCTTTCGTCTCGTTTAGTCATTTTTCACCTTGCATCGATGTCTTGTTCTTGATTTTTGGCCGCCTTTCCTTCGTTCAACTCTCTTCCTACTTAGGTTAACACTTAAGATGAGTTTTCCCTCCCGTTGACGATCAATATTCCATCGTGGCCTTCCCTCAAGCTTTGGGGACTTGCCTCGAGGGCTTTGAAGACCATATTTCTAGTTACTTAGTAACGCCTAAGATGGTGCTTCACCCTTAAGGGCCATAAGAGCCATGTCGTGATTTTCTATGTTCCCTGGTAGCTTGAAATTCCTACAAGTAGTTAGATACAGTTTCTTAGGGGAGCTTTAGAACTCACCTTCTCTTCCCCTCATCCTTTTTTCCCTCTTCACTGCATGTTAGCTCTATCATTTGTTTGGCTCCCACTCCCTTGTCGCTCTCTCTTTCGCATCTATTTTGACCTATCTCATGTGCCCTAGCTTTGATCGTTGGTTGTGTGTCGCAGCCATACTCTTATTGTTATTCTCTTGGGCGTCATTTCAGAGTAGGTTGTGCTCTGTTTTATGCTTATTTCTTGGCGCTGACCCAACCCCGACATGTGGGATCTCAATTGATGGGAAGGTATTTATGGGGTGTCCAATGGAGAATTTGGGTGGGGGAATCAAGGTCTTGTGGGGGATATCTTTGGATGTGCTTTGTGTAGTTTAGTTGGGGTCTTAGGCGGTAGGTGATGTGAAAGGAAAATATATGTTGTCTAGCAGGTTAATGTGGAAAGTGTATATTATAATTAATATATATGAGAACTGTAATTATAATATATTGTATTTTATGGTAAATTTGGGTATAATTTAGGTGTATGTGATTTGTTCTCTATTCTCTCATCTATAATTTGTTTATATATAACAAGCCTATATATTCATACAATTAATGGACACATAAAGTCTTTGCAAAGAAACCTGTGACTCTTCACGTGGTATCAAAGTTAGATTCAGCTTCGTTGTGTCAATTCCTGTAAGATTGAGTATGTTACTTTGTTACTTGATCATGTTCTTTTTTGTATGATCAATTATATTGTTTTGTAAATTGATCATGTTTGTCTGTCTGCAAGCTGTTGAATCCGTCTCAGAATGCTCCAAGTTCTATTGGCTCTTCCAAGTGCCATTCAATTTTCTCAGCTATCTCGATTGTTTTTCTGTCTTGGAGGAGATCTGAAGTTTTCGTTTGTTGATTAAGCATGCTCTATTTGAGCCTTATATTTATGAGGCTTGTTGAACTATCGTTGCTTGCACTTGCCCTGTTGTTCATATGTGCTTGTTGATCAAGCAATATGAGCATGACAACAATTGCTTCGACTGGTCACACCATGCACCCGAAGATTTAACTGTTCGTTTTCTGCAACTTAGTATTTAAACTTTAGCTTCTCTTTCTCATAACATCTTGAGTTTGAGGGGAGCATAAAAGGAAAATATATATTGTCTACCAGGTTAATATGGATGGTGTATATTGTAATCAATATATATGAAAATGGTAGTTACAATATCCTGTATTTTATGGTAAATTTCACTATAATTAGGTGCTTGTGATTTTCTTTTTATTTTCTCTTATGTAATTTGTCTATATATGATAAGCTTATATATTCATACAATTAATGGACACAAAAGAGTCACTTCATAGAAACCTGAGAATCTTCATAGGTGAAAACCCCATCTATAACGCCTTGTAAAGAGATATAATCAACGTGCATATATCCCACTAAAGTATAGTCATTTCAAAAGTTTCACGTTTTCCATGTTAGTATGCTCATTCTCAATTTATTTGCCATTTTCAAATAAAAAATGTAAATAATTTTGATTTCAAAGGTCCAAAGTTTATCAAAGTCCCTTAGTTGTAAACTTCAGAGTTTTTTATTTTTATGCAGGAACAACCTTAGATTTCTAAATTCCAAAGTTTTTGTTGGATGACAATACAAAAAATCAGTTCGATAGTACAAAAACAACGTCGGATTTTCAAATTGTGAGGTTTGTTTGTTAAATGACAATACACAAAGATTTTTGGATTTTAAAAATCCAAATATTTTCTTTTGAATCAAGGCCACTTTGATTATATTAGACTAACAAAGCTCCAAGTCAAGGTATTTTCAGGAAAATATCCAAAAATAGAAAATATGGGTACGAATGTAATATTAGTAACTTATGGGGCATTTTTATTATCAACATCATAGCTTTTTTTCAACTAATTGGGGTTGGTTATAAGAATCTTAATATGTCATTATGTTTTATTAAGAGTCGTACCTTCAGTGAGACCATATTGGTGGATTTGTATATTAACGATATATTAAAAAAAAAAGTAGTTTGTGCTTTAGGGATGCACACTTCTACACTGACGTCCCCTGACGCATGTAAGTTCCATCATGGAGATGGATGTTGGAAAATAATAGCTCCGAAAAAATTTTGAAATCCATGGTGTTAAAATTATGTAAAAAAATTTAATTTTTATGTTTTAATATTTTTTTAGGCTACTACTTATCATTGTTGGTATTTTATATTCCTCACCATTTTGAATCCACAATCTATCTCTAAAATAGGTTTTTAGAGACAAAACTCATTTGAACAGGTAGATCGACTCGACTCAGAAAAATAGAATTGTGAAGGATATTTACGTGAATTTTGTAAGAAGTATTTAGAGAGTATGCCGACTCACACTATTTTTGTGTGGCCTCTCTACAAATTATATCTTAAAGATATATTTTCAATCCAAAATTTTAGAGTTCAATAATGTCAACCATGACAATTATTTAAATTTGAAATTTTATTTTTTAAATATAAATATTATTTTTTGAATTCCTTTCTTCATTATCTATTTTAACTTTTAGTGGATGTAACATTTTTAACATCCATCTTAGAGATGGATGTTAGACAAGGGAATGCAAGCTGACACACCAAAACTGTGTCCCTTTTCAAAGGGCTGAAGTTTCTATAATGCTCAGACTTTATGAAACAAAATAAAGCCTCACCTCATATTCTCATCCAGAAAGTACTTTTGACAACCAAAATCTCTATTATGACTCTAAAATCAATTTACAATATTGACAATAAATTTTGAAAATTAAAAAAATTTGAAACTTAAAAAATAATATAGATCTTGCCGATTTATGAACACTTATATTTAAGGTAAAATAGACAATCTAGATAATTTGTTACAATATATACTATTTTTAAATTTTGAAATCCTAATTTTTTTTCACAACCATAATGTTAAAGCCAAAATGATTATTGCAAAGGTTCTCCAATACTTTTTAACTATAACTTTCGATGAGTTACGAGATGAGGCTTTTATTTGTTTTGATAGGGCTGCGGCCCTATCATAACATTTTCTTTTTCAAAGAGATATGGACGGTTCTGTTTCGGCTCTGATATTTACGTTTCTAAAGAATCTAATCAATCCACCCTTGATTTCGAAACCGAAACTAACTGAAATCATCCGAAATTTTGAACCGCCGCAATTTGGAACCACTGGGAAGCAGAAATCGCCAATCTTCCGTTCAACGCCACTTTGACGGGTGGGTTCGGCGGCCCCTATTACTTGCAGACCGCTGATAAAATTTCCCATAACATAAAATCCTTGTTTTCAGGCCGGAAAAGGCCGGAAAATTGAAAAATCGCCGTGAAATCTGATTTTCCGGGTCCAAATTCCAAAACACCTTGAAGTTCATCACTAGTGCCACTTTCTAAGCATTTTCAGTGGAAAAACCTGTCATATAACAACTGGAAGCTCAGGTTCCTGACTTAGTTCTGGAAGGAGAGGTAGAAGCAAGGTAAACTGATAAATTTCATTCAATATTGAAGTTTTAGTTATCTATATTCAAGGAAAAGTGCATAAGTTTGTTGATCGTTTGCTTTTGGTTGTAGACAAGTAGAATTACAGCAATTTAATGGGATTTTACATCTGCATTGAATAGTTTCACTGCTGTGTTGTTTTTCACTGGTATGTTTAATAGGAAATAAGCTCGGTCAAATGTTCAGTTTTATGGCTCTTAATTTCAGCATTTGATTATCCGTATAAACAATTAAGCAGCTTTTCGTTCAGGGGTTTATGAAAATTTTATTTTTATTTCATTTATTATGAACTCAAGAGCTGGTCTCCGCATATTGAAACTTAAAATTCAGTTGAAGTTTGTTTAGACTCTGTGTTTTTTTCTTGATTGGTGAGTGTGTTTTTATGTTTTTGTATTTCTATGCACTCATTGTAAACCTAGTAAATTGCTGGAATAAGGCATTTCATCAATAATTGTTTATTTTTCTTTTTCTAATCTTCTATTTGCTTTGCTGATCAGAGAGACATAAATAGCTAAACATAGTAGAACTGGATATTTCCAGAAATGACCACTTTTAAGATTTAATGAAGATCCAAAAGCTAATTATGAAAAAAAAAAAAAATCCAAAAGCTTCATGTCATGCAGACAAGATGTTTTTTATTTGGAAAATTTTGTTAGGAAAATATTTTTCGTTTTATTTTCTTTTCCTGGATGAAAGTATCTAAAGAAATGAAGAGCAAGAGAGTCACCAAATAACTACCCTGTGAGAGACCATGTACTTGTGTTAGCCTTGTTTAAAAAATATAGTCTAACTACAAATTTTCTATCAGCAAAGACGAATTTCGCTGTCTTTTGTAGTTTCACATTTCTTTTCTTTTTTATTTGTTTTAAAACAGTTACGAGTATACTATGAAGCATTGGCCAATGCTTAAAATGAGACTATTGTACTGTTATTACTTTCTTCATTGACATGGTAATAAGTTCCCAGCTTTAATAAATTACACAAATATAAACAGATGGGTTCGGAAGATGGGGTCATAGAAGTTGATCGTATAGAGAGGAGATTATTATCAGATGAGCAATCTCAAGAACATAATGAAGTTGGTGATGAGACTGTCTTATACAAAGCATCCTTTGAGGAGATGGAAGATAATTTTGTCAAATATCAGACTACTCAATGGGTTATGTATTCTTTACTTCTAATTGTAGCATGGGGGGCGGGGCTAATCATGTTGCTTTATCTGCCTATAAGGAGATACATTGTTCGGAGAGACTTTAGATCGAGAAAGTTGTATGTCACCCCAAATGCTATAATTTACAAGGTATGTGGAGATTCTTTGCTTTGTTTCTTACTTTGAAATATTGACTTATTTACAATTGTATGTCATCATCGTCAAAGCTTTTTCCCAACTAATTGGGGTCGGTTACACGAATCCTGAGCTACCATTATGCTCTATTAAGGGTCATACTCTCAGGGAGGCCATAAGTCCCCCTATGTTTTTCTCACTACCTCTAACCATGTCCTTTTGGGCCTGCCCCTTTCTCTTTTTTGAGCCTTCCACTTGAACTCACTCGCACCTCCTAATAGGCGTTGTACTGGTTTTGCGCCACACGTAGTCAGTCCACCTAGTCGACTCTCTCTCATCTTATCACCTATTGGTGCCACACCTAAATTTTTCCAAATGTATTCGTTTCAAGCTATCCCTTCTTGTCTTGCCACTCATCCATCTCAACATCCTCATCTCCGCTACACTCATTCTATGGGTATATTATTTTTTGACCGCTCAACATTCCGCCCCATATAGCAAAGTTGGTCTCATAACTGCCCTATAGAATTTGCCCTTCAGCTTCATTGGTATTGCGGCAATCACATAAAATTCCGGTTGTAGATATCCACTTCGCCCACCAAATTCTAATTCTATGTGCGACATCTTCCCCAATCTCTCCATATTCTTGACCCAAGATATTGAAAGTGCACTCTTTTTGGTATTTCCTGATCATCAATCTTTTTGTCTGTTTCCTGACCTTCAATCTTAACTACTTCCTCGTCTCTACCCCTATTATTATTAAACTTGCATCCCATATACTATGTCTTAGTTCAGCTAATTTTAGAAACTTTAAATTGTAGAGCATTCCTCCAAATATCTAACTTTGTGCTAACATTGTTTCAGGTCTCATCGATCAAAACTATGTATTTACAAGTGTATGTCAATGTCTTATTTGGTGTTCGTGGAAAAGTTTGGTTTTAGATACTTGATATTTCTATATGCGGCATGTCCTTTGCCATGTGCATCTTTGTTTGATGACTATTTGAACTTTGAATATTGAAGCACATTGCCCAACTGACTTGGGAGTTGGGGCTAGATTTATGTGGTACAAAATCTGATGCGTGATTATTACAGAAAAAATGAACCAATTTTCTTCTGATTTTGAAAGTTTAGGTGGACTTTGGGAAAGGCTGATCGGGGAAACTTACTTATTATTAAAGGTAGATTGGGAAGCTTGCTTCATATTATGTACATGCAAGTGATAAGCTTAAATCTGCTGAATTATTTAGAATGCTATGTGTTCTCTTGTCTGGTGTTTACACCACAAAATGTTGGTAAGTAATTTCCTTGATCTTTGTAATTTTTGAAAATTTGTTCATATTTTATTCATGAAATTGGTGTCAATACTTTTTGCAACTGATTTTTGAAGGCAAATATGCCTGCCAACCAACTTGAAGTACCTAGAGTTTGTTCACACAAGAAAAAGTACTTAAGCTCTAAAGTTTACACTGTCATTCTCACTTGAACTTGTAAGGGTGGTTATTGTGTTTCTAAATAAGAAAACACATTACATGTGGCTCCTGAGTCGTGAATCTATCCTGTAGTAACACTATCCCAATCAGTGTTTACACAATTATTAATTACTTTTTGCATGTTTCATTGAATGTGAGCTCTTGCTAAACTTTAAAATGCTTTCGTAGCTATGGTATTACATCGATTTTGTAGCTTACAATTTCTACTGGTTTCTGCAGGTTACGAGACCGGTGTTCTTGCCTTGTTTTGGTGTACTCAAGAAAGAAAAGCATGTACTTCTTCCTTCTGTAACAGATGTAGTAGTTGAACAAGGTAAGATGATTCAGCATATATTGTGCAGCAATCATTAAATATTGAGAAGTGATAGAGCCTTTTGTCTTTTATGTTTCTGATAAGTCATTTGTTTTTCTTTGGAGATTCTCTACAATGGAAGTCGACTATCCTCTACAATCCCCCCTGCTTGGGAACCAGCCTTTGTTAGCTTTTTTATGAAATGGTCAAAGGTTATCTTTCTAGAGCTAAACAACTCTTGGAAATCTTCAAGTACTAATGTTCAAAAACTCGCTAGGAGGACTTTTTCACATCTGTCCATATCAACCAGTGATACTTCGCACTTTTATGAGACTTCCAATTTTACAAACCACATTTTGATTCTGACCTTTCTAAATTCTTCTCTTATAGGCGGCTATAAAATGATGTTGATCTTGATTCTTTCTACTCTCACCACCTTCCTTGCTCCGATCCCTCTGGCATTTTACAATTGTGTTCAGTCCATGGCTACCAACTTCCCATTTTTTGAAGGTTGGCTTCATCCAGGATGCTTGAACACAGATTCTATATATAGAAATTCAAAGCATAATATCCTAAAAGCCTTTTGTAGTAAATACATAAGGTGCTTTTAGAATTCGTTATGGTCAGTGTCTTTATCCTCTTGAACCTTGAACAAATAAGAAATACACTCTTAAAAAGTTAAGTTTAGAAATTCAGGATCATAACCTTCTCTTGTTTTGAAATTAAGTTGTAAGTTGTAACCTCTTTCTCATGTGCCCGGATGATGTAGAGTTAATGGCAATGGTGGCTGAGGGCTACCTCTGTGAGACACTGTTAACTGGGTTGGGCACGCTTATGAAATGATATTGGCATGAAAGAAATGTATTCATTTGTTTAGGCAAAGTTTTTTTTTACCCGTGTAAGTGACTACATTGTGTTAAAATCACCTTCTTGAGAATAAAAATATTGATGAAATGATGGAGAAATGGCCACTTGTAATATATAGTTACATTTGCCCTGAAGTACTCTCAACTATTTGGAGGTATACTTACCATTTATAGATGTGCTTCATCACCTGTTTTGGTGATGATGCAAAAAAAGTTGTCCTTTGTATTTGAGAAAAAACTGCCTTCTCTTTCTAGAGTTTCTATATCATCAAAAACACGGCTGTTATCAGTACAATTTTTGGGTTAACACTGTGAGACGCTCTCAGCAGAATCTTTTAAAACTTCCATACACCTCAAAAATAGTTCTTGGCTTCTACAGGATACTTGCAGTCCAAGTTTGGCATATACTCTATTAGACTAGAGAATTCAGGTGTAAGAAGGCCTCCAAGTGATGACATTCAGATTCAAGGGATTGTTCATCCAAGGGCATTCAGGAAGGTAATACACCAATTTGAAGTTCCATTGTGTCAGTGGAAACAGATAGTGGAAATAACTTTCAAGTGCATTAGACCATAGTCCATTGGAATATGTTATAGTTTGCCTTTACTGATATTAATTAATGACTTATTCTGCCTAGGCCATCCTAGTTCTTCTCGCAAACATGAGGAAAGAGGGTCTAGCCAGAGAAGTCTCTGTTAATGAAGGGATGCCAAGTTTTGGGTCTGGTTTCCACTGCCCTCCTCCGCTATGGGCACGGATTAATGTGGAGAACCGGTTGACGCCTCGATCAGTATGTGTTTGTGTGCCTTTTTATATTTACTTTTCCTTCTTCTACATAGTAATTCATCTGGACCAAGGACACAGTATATGCTATAGCATGAATGAAAATATAAATTACTTCATCGTGTACATTACGTTGTATTTCATCTTCTCTTTGTGATTGTGTTGGTTTCTGTCAAGGGAAAGTATATAATAATCTAATGTGAACTAAAAAACATTATTGATAAAAAAATTTTGAACTATGAAAAGAGATAGTCCACTGGTATCATCACTATCCAATGAAGTTATGGGTGGTGTTGAAGAGTGGGTGGGACAAAATAGAGCAACACATCGCCCCAGTGGTGGGTTACTCTCTCCATCACGATCCATTTAATTGGATTTGATGACCTGAATGAGTTCTGTGTATTTACATATTACATTGGGTTATAGCATGCTTTCCCTCTTGTTAAAATAAATGTTTTTTTTTTTCTTATGAGAGTTCCATTGTCAAACATGGGGTTGTGGCTAACATTCACCTCCATAGCCTGCCTAGCATAAAATACCAATTACAAGAAAAAAGAGCATTAGTTAAGAGAACCTCTTAGTTCTTGGAATATGAACTCATGAATTGCTGGTTTTTGCTGGTGTTGATTGAAGATGTCACCTTGTGCTCTCTACCATGATGCATTCCATTCTTCGGAAGAATTGATATTGCAGAAACTTGAGGAAGTTGGAAGTTCTGTGAAGGTGAAGATAAAATAAAGTCAATTTCTCCATTTACTGTGTTTCTTGTTTGGATTTGCTGCGTGTGTGTGCATGCATGTGCTCGCATACATCACCGAGAGAGAGAGAGAGAGAGAGAGAGAGAGAGAGAGAGAGAGAGAGAGTACGTCGTAGTAGTATAGTTAGTTTATTTTCGTTTCGTTCTTTACTTTAGTTAGTATAGTAGTAGTGTTACGTCTATCGTAGTAGTAGGTAGGTCGGTCGTCGACGTAGGGTACGGTT